CATTCATGAGAAAAGCAAGAGTTATCATTGTATTTATGTTGAACATCTCACAATTCTCGGTAAGTGGTTCTCAATCTATCTCCACCTATGGATACCCATCAGTAACTAGTCCTAGCAGAGCATATCAGAATCAAGGTCCCACAAAGTGCTGTCCTAGATTTTGTAAACATAATATGCTTTCCAAAGAATATGAAATTTCTCAAATGGGAAATAATAAAGACCTCCTGGTTGACATTAATTTTCAAGGATTTTTGCTAGTCATGTGCTGAGATTATCAACTGTCTATTGTTTTTAGTACCAATAGAGAGAGATAAGGACAGTTTGTCCAAACAAAGTGAAACTAAAAATTTAACTGTGCAGATAACAAATGGACAAAGAAATACTCTTGCTTTATTCATCAAATAACTTTTAAAAAACTTAACTGGCAAGACTGTTCCCATTTTCCACAAATAGCTTGTATTTCTCCACATTCTCAACAGTAATTCTAAAATTCTGTGGAGTCATAAAGTATATTATGATATTACCAGAAATATAAATCTCAAAGTTTCAATATTTTGTTACAAATTTATTAAGACTTATTTTGCAAAAAGATGTCTATAGAGTTTATGTGTAGTATGTCACATCCAAATGGCATAGTTTAAAAAGGTTTGTGATGTGCTTTCAGAAAACATATATATAATTCATACAATTCTTTTTTGTAAGATAATGATAAAATGTAGTACAGATATAATTCAAGTCTTTATTATCCGAATCATTCTTCTGATTACAAAATTCTTTATCTGCAATGGTTACTGTTTTTCTGGGGCTTTTTCCTTTTACTTACCACTCTAGTAATCCAATAAAGAAATTAGTCTGAGGCACAGGAAGCCCCTATCCTTAAGGTCCCTTTATCATATTTTCAAAGCATAACATTAAAAACTAGCAGTTAGTTCCTACTTTTAGGGACTTCAGAAATGGGTATTTGTTATGACCTTATTCTTCACAACCCAGCATTACAGCTATTTAATAACTAGGAAAAAAGAAAATTAAAAAAAATTGCTGAGCACAGATCATTTTACAAATTATGGTAGTGTTACATTTTACTACTTCATGATAAACATTTTTTTTTCGAGTAGACCATGTGTACTTGTTTCCCTTTCCCTACTTCCCAAAGGTGAATATACCCTTCCATACAATGAACACATATTTGGAATTCTGTTTTGAGATCTTTTTGAAGGCTTTAAACCAAACTGTTTCAACAGCTGGTGGACTAAAACATGAGTATTTCCCACAAACGAAAAGAATTATTTTGGGAATGCAGCTACCACATTCAAACTCATTGGGCTTGGAAGGTGGGCCTTTGCACCAAATCCAATCACTGGCGAATAGGATTAGAGTTTTATCATTAACCTCGAGTGAGTCAAGACTGACCAATGGACTGGGGAAAAAAAAGTATAAAAGAATTTTGATTTAAAAAATGCTTTCAAAAAAGAGTGAAGCAGGACACTACCGTGCTTGAAAGGTGTTTCCTTCCACACTTATAAACGGTTATAACTTAGGCCCGCAGTTACAGTTATGAAAGAAACCGTCAACTAAATTGCAGCAGGTTAAACCGACACAGTTACTAACGTCCCGGAGTTGCTTTTCTGTTGCGAGTCGGCACCGCACCCTCCAACCCGCCCTCCAGGAAGAGACTTAGAAAGGTAGTGAAAGCTTTTTACTGAACCAGGCAAGGGCTACCCACAAATGAATCAATCACAGGAGGACAACAACTCGGTCTCTATTTTTCTCCGTCTCCTCAGGAGCCCCGCCCTTTCGGGGCATGAGACCCCCGAGGGAGCCCGTGTCACACGTCGCCTAAGCGTAGGAGGCGGCGGGAGGTGACCACAGTTGCCCAACAGTTGGGTTCCCAGGCTGCCTGGTGTGACGCACAGCCCCCTCCCCACCCCTCCGGACAGGCGCTCAGACTGGGCCGAGGGAGCTATGGTTCCAGGCCTGGGCAACCAGACTCCACGCAAGACCCTGCTCCCTCGGCTTATCCAACTTGGCCCTCCCGAGGCACTCCTAGCCCCAACGTAGTTTTTAGCGTTTCCCCACCCCCCTGCTTCCCCCGTAGCTTCTCAGTCTCTCCGCCGCGACGTCCTTGCGTAATCGTTCCGAGTGACAGCAGCGTCCATACCCGCACGGAGCGAGCCTGCAGCTCCCACTTCCCGGAATTCAATTCCCGGCCACTAAGAGAGGGCGCCCGAGCAAGGATCAGCGGCCCACGGCCGTGGTCAGAGTCCGGCGGCCTCCGCGCGGCGAGCGTGCGCGCTCCCATTCATGCGCGTGCGCGCATTCACTCTTCGCCCTCCTCAGCACCAATAGCTTTCCTTCTACACCCCACGACTCCACAACGTAGCCCCTCCCACCGCCCGCGCGCCAGCCGGAGGTGTTCGGCGTGCGCGCTCCCGTTCGCCCGCCGGCCCGCCTCGCGCCCAGTGGGGAAGGGGAGTGAGCAGAGGAGCTTACGTCGCGCGGGAGGCGGAGGCGACGGCGACCTCGGTGGTGGCGGCGGCGGAGGCGGCTACGACGGAGACGGTTGCGCTCGCTCTCTCGGCGTCATGGCGGCTGCCGGGAGCCGATAAGCGGCGGGAGCGGGAGCGCGCGCGTGGTCGCGGCGACAACGACGGCTCGTTACTTCTCGCTTTTGCTGCCTTCGCCGTTGGTGCTTCAATAATGAATTGATTGTTGGATCCGCTCCGCAGGGGATCGCGCGTTGGTGCCGCGGCCCGGGGCTTCCCCTTCCCCTCCGCGTCCTTCCCCTTCCCCCTCCTCACGGACTCCTGCTTACCCCGAGACGCCCGGAGCCCGAGGACTCACTCGGCGGCAGAGACCGCGGGCCCGGGCGCGGGGGAGGCCGCCGACCCGAGTCGACTCCCTCCGCCCCGCGAAGCCTGCACGCCCGCCGGTAAGAAAGGGGGCGGCGGGCGGGTCAGGATGTGGCGGGGAGGACGGGAGCCGGCCAGGCGGAGGGCGGGGGCGGCGCGGTGCCCGGGCGGCGGCCCAGCGGCCGAGCGCCGGGCGAAGGCCGGGGCGGCTCTGTGAGGGCCGGCAGGGGCTGACGGGCTCGGTGCACAGGGGGCGTGTGAGTGGCGAGCGCAGGCCGGCGCCGAGGAGCGCATCCTCGCGCCGGTCGGGCGGGCAGCTGGGCAGTCGAGCCCGGGCCTCTTCGGCTTAGGGCTGGCGGGGCCGCGAGGGGAGAGCGGCGAGGGGAGAGCGGCGAGCACTTGCCGGGTGCTTTGGTCCCGCCGCGACCCGGACTCCCAGCACGTGGGGAGCGGCGGGGAGGGGGAGGGGGCGGCGGCCCGGGCGAGCCCGGGAGGGCGCGGGGCGGGTCTGCGGGAAGTTTGAGGCGGGAAGAGAGACCCTGGGACCGGGATGAAGGCCCGGAGAGGGACGGGGTTGGAGGGCAGTGGTGAGCGTCTGGTTGGGAGGCTGATTGGAGCGAAGCTGCAAAGTACGGATGAGGGAGGAGGAAGGTTTCCAACCTCCTTTCGAGTACCGCTTTGAAAACTTAGCAGGAGCGAAGCAACTGTTAAAAGACGGGCGCAGAAAAGGAGGATTCAAAGAGGTTTAGCGACTTAGGGAAGAGTCATTGTTAAGACGCGTGAAAGGCAGGAGAGAGCTGCGTGCGCCTGGAGCTTCAGAACTTACGGTTGTAAGAAGGGTTTCAGAAAGAGGACTTACTCGGAGAAGGAAGATGAGGGGGGAAAAGGAAGTTACAGTGTACGGAGAAAGCCATTTTGAGGGGCGAAAAGGAGTGAAAAGAAAAGAACGAAAAGAGTTGTGAACTTTCTCGGTGAAGAGAGACTGGGTAAGTGAGGCAGTTTGTTAGAGTACCTGGATTTTTAAGACATCATCGTTTAATAGTAAAGCTCTTTGATTAGTTGGAATTAACATTTAACCTTAAGACTAAATGTTGCGTGGAATACTTTTTGGATGACCATTTCTTGGAAGGAGTCTACTGGACTGTAGTCTCGAGAATTAAAATACCGATCAAGATGCAGAGTTTACTATGATTGGGTTGGCAACAGCGTATTTCCCCCCTCTTTTTTGTGGAGTGGAAATAATCGTAGGAGTAAATTCTCTTTGCTGAGGTCGGCGGACAGCTCTGCTCTCAGTCGCCTGTCTCGGTACTTTCTGGCTGGGGAAGGATCTGACGTCTCCTTCCCCCGCTTCTTCCTCTCCCTCCCCTGCCAGAGATCTCCTTTGTTTATTCGTGGATGGCTTGTAGGTGACTCTCCAGTGTTGGGCTGAAATCTTGCAAGGTGGAAATGCTGTGGCTTGGCTCATGATTTCTACCCCAAGCCCATGTCTTAATTAATCCTAGTGTATATTCTATTACCTTTTTTTTTTTTAATGGAACCTCTGCAAGTCCGAACTGGATAAATACTATTTAAATTTTATCACTCCACTCTTGGTTTACCTGTGAAAGAACACATATGTTTTGACCTATACATTTTTCGCTGAAATTGTGTGATACACTTTTATTCTGTTCTCATGTGAGCATTTTCAAAACTTTCCCTCATTCAGTTATATGAAGTTCTGAGTAATAGGAATTAGTGCTTGATTAAAGGTAATGTTTTTTTCCCCATTCGTTTGACCAAGTTTCTAATAAGACTTCTTTTTCTGTTCTTGGGATATATATATATGTTCCATACTACCACTTTGCTTTAGTTATTTGTTTCTGTATAATGTGTATATATGTGTATTGCTACACAGTTGCAGTCAGTTTAAAAGTTTTATTACTTCACAAATATTTTAATTTCTTCTGTCAAAAATAAGCAGTAGTGCTAAATTCTAGTAAGTAGTCAGGAATGTAGTTAATAGAAGCCTAAGTATTTTGAGTGAAAGACCCCTAACCCTCCCTTACCATCTCTAATTTAATTGGCCTAGGTAGATTTGTATCAGTTCTAAATAGACTTAACTCATCTTTTCCTGTATAGGAAATTTTCTTACTTTCTCAATATATTTTCTTTAGGTGAATCAAAAAGGGCCCAGGAAGCCTGTGAATGTTGGAGAAAATTCATCTGTGAATTTTTGATGTTTAAGGAGTTCGTATTTGTATTCATCTTTTAAACTGGGAAGATTTATATTTTATTTTAAAACTTCTTGATATTTACAATGAATGGACACAGTGATGAAGAAAGTGTTAGAAACAGTAGTGGAGAATCAAGGTAAGCACTTTATTATCAAGTATTATGAAGAGAATGTAAAACTTGAATGACTCTTTAGTTTTCCTAGTAGGTGGCAGAGTATTCAGATCAGATTCTTCCTCTTAGTTATCCAAACAGTGATAAAAAGTTTCTGATACATGAAGTTTTGTTGGTAATACAGGTTTTATTTTTTCCATTGAGATACACAAAGATGAATTTAAATATGGAAAGTTTAGGTGACTTAAATCTCTTTGGAGGTTTATATTGTTTGGGTCAGTTATTGAAACTAAAGCAAGTAAAAAGAGACCTTTAAATTGCTTTGACTGTTAGTGCACTCTCCAAATAAAGGCAATAAGGAGTTCTTTACTCACCTTTTTCTGGCATTTTGTCTTCTATCCCTTTCCTGTCCAGTATAGTAGCCACTAGCCACATATGGCTATTTAAACTATTTAAAATTACAAAATATTAAAAATGCAATTAGTCACACTTGACGCATTTCGAGTGCTGAAAGCTACATGTGATTAATGGCTACCATGATGTGTAGCACAGATAGAAAACATTTCTATCATTGCAAAAGTTATTTTGGACAACGCTGATCTGGACATTTGTTAAAATATTGCTGCAACCCTTTTTTCCCCCCAATTTTCTTTTTAAATTTGAGTTTTAATTATATATGAATGAGTTACTTGGGCCATGTCTTTGCAAAGAAGATAGAGTTAATGGGAGTAAGCCATATTAAGCTGTTTTACTGTGTAAGAAGCCTCTTTAAATTCAAAGACTCTTTAAATTCTTCTCTAACCCCTAAATTTTGAGTTACCTGCACATTGATGGAGTCCATGTAGTTATATACACTTATCAGTAGAGATCAGGAATGTGAGCATCAGAGTCAGACTGATTACTTTTTCCAGTTCTACTTCTTATTAGTTGTGTAAATTAGGGTAAATTTCTTTACCTCTGAGGTTTTGTCTTTTTCACTTATAGAACATGAATTACAGTGTTATCTTATTTAAAGTTGGGAATAGTGAGGTGTTATGTGGAAAGGGCTTAAAATAGTTCCTGATAATAATGAGCACTCACTATTTGCTTATTATAATTAGCATCATGTTTTATGTACCATAGGATACTACATAACTGGAACATTAATTACAGTGGTAGAGAAATGTGATGGACAAGAAACAGGAAAGTTTTGGCAGTTGGGAGGGTTTCAGAAAAAATTTTGGATAGAGAAGGAAGCAGTGTTCTAAGTATTTGACTTGAAACGGTATTTTCTGGTCATGCTAGGTGTACTTTAGTTTATCAGCTTTCACAGGCAGACTGTTTGGATAACAAGAACACGTAGAAAGAAAGGAGCAATTATGGAAAGCAGCATTATTTAGTTGAACAGGTATTGTCTAAACATTACAAAACCTGAGTTGACACTCTGCCTTTGAATGATCGTCTCAACTTTAAAAAAAAGAATTGAAGTGAATGGTTTTGAAGTTTCATCCCACCACTTAATTTACAAAGTATAATAAGGTTTCAGACAACAGAGTTCAAGTATCAACAGAGTTGAGAGGCTAAATTGGAAGAGTTTTGAATCTCATATTTGATTCAAATCTCTACAGGTACATTGATTATAGTAAGTGATTAGAAGAGTCCCGTTGTTCACATTCTTTTGTTTGTTAGTGAGCAATGAAATGGTTAATAGGTAGAAATATCTGGAGGAAACACAGGAACTAAACTACTCACAAAATAGGAAATAAGACTCTTGAGAGTAAATCCTCTAGTTGAGTGTTCAGAGAGGTCATGTACTGTTACATTCTGAGCCCTTTCTTGTTCCAGTAATGTTTTATGTATTTTGCTGCTGTATCTAAAGCGGAGTAATAAGATAGATTTGGTAGTATAAGTGAAAAAAGTTAAACCCTGTGAAATCAGATTTACTTAAAGAAATCTTTTACAGTGCATATTTATGAAATAATTGCAAATCATAATTCTGTAATTATTGTGAGTTATTATTTCTACTATACAGGGTTTACATGCTTCTGAGAAGTGTGGTTGTCAAGTTATCTTGTTCTTGCAACTGCCTTGGTGTTTATCAGAAGGAGGGAGACCTGCTTCTCATCTGCTTTCATTTTCTTCCTTACTGCTGTTATGCTGTCCTTTTCCTTTGCTCTACTGTCATTGTTACCAACCCTCAGCCACCATTCTCCCCAGCAACCTCCCCCCCCCCAAAAAAGCTTTCATACCAAGGCAGTACAGAGAAAGGAGATTGTGCTTAAGGACATGAACTTATAGGTAGGGGGATTTTCTTGCCAAAAAACCCCACTTCTAGTAACTATGAATATTAATGTAGAGTGAAGAGAGGAGAGATATGCTCTGCTTTTAAAATTGATAATATATTGTAAATAGTTTTTAAAGTAAAACTTGATTTTTATTGGGTAGAATTTTTAAATGGATTTTTGCTTTAGATTTTCTTCCTTTGTGGAAATTCCATTATGAAATGAAATAAAATTAAGTAAGAAGTCATTTGACAGTTTTGGTTGGTATAATTAGCTTTATACTAAAAAATGTTCTTTGATTCTTTCCATATGGAAAGTTGTCTGTGACCATTGAGTGAAAGGAGGAAGAATACACAGGAAGATGTTTCTTTAGCTATGCTATAACTGACAATTTTGAAACTTATTTACTAAGAAATATGGGTCAGGATGCACCTGCACATCAGTTTAAACTCAGCACAAAGTTTACTTATATAACTGAAGTTAAGCTTTCTAAAGATGCTTTTGGAAGATTTTAAAATACTGATTCCCGGCTGTGGATTTGAGAAAAACAAAAAAATCAAGTTTTCCAAATCCTGGTTAGACTTTTTATTTTAAAGTTCTCTTGAATGATGATTTAATCCAGGAATAGATTTGTGGATGAAGGTCAGAAATACATAGTCACATTTGCTAATTTTTGGGTGATTAGTACATGCTTAATGTTCAGGACAATTTCTCTCCTTGCCTGCAGATTAAGTTTTTAATCTAAAGTTGTACATGTAAATTTGATAATTTATTTGAATCACTTTGATTAGTATCTACATATGCTCTTGAAAAATTTTTACAGAGTGAGGGAAATTGTTAATGATGTGCTACAATGGTCTTAACCATTTATAGTTAATCTCTGGTTGGCAGTTGAGCTTTATTAACCTGATTCTTAGAATTCTTTTGTTTCATTATTGCTTTTCATAGCATTAACAATGCTTGATTTAATATATTTAATGTATGTTGTAAATATATATGTGTGTAAATTTTATATTAGAAGAACTCTGTCACAAATTTCCTTGGCTTATAGAAAATATTTTTGTTAATGTTATATACTTCAAAAATCTTTGGATCTGAACTTTTAAAGTGTTTCGTGTAAGTAATGAGTAGGAAATATGATCAGTGGAAGTGTTCTAAATGAAAATCTTTTATAGAAATTCAGCATCTTTAAAAGGCTTTGAGAAGTCTAGTCTAAAGGACCTGTTAAATTTTAGGAATACCAAGTCAAAGTTAATTTGAACACAGGCCATGTTTCTTTACCATGTATTTGTTAGTGTCTTGTTGAAAACTACTATGGTACACCAATTTTGGAAATTTTGCATTTATGTACACAACACATACCAGAAAGGTTTGCTGTCATCAAAATCAGTTTTTTTCACTAAGTAAATTTAAATAATTTTTAAAGGCAATACCAGTTAAAATGGTATTTTCTAAGCTTACTTTGCAGTTATCTCGGAGTTTTAAAGTCAATTCATTCTTAAATTTCAAACGTTTGTGCTAAGAAACATTTTAAGAAAGGCAGTAAAACATGAAATCATAGAATAGCTAGAAATCATTGAGTTAAGGAAACTGGTTTTTTAAATTTTTCCATGATGTCATTATTTGCAGGGAAGTATGGCTCTTTTACGCCATTTTCTGTTAATCCCTGTTTTTCAGCTCTATATGTACTTTTTTCATTTATTCCTATTAGTTTTTTCTTTCCTCATATATCCTATACATGATCCTAGATGATCTGAGATTAAGTACCATTTCTTAACATTTTGAAAATTGAATAAACTGTTAAGCAGGGGCTTTAGTAATAGGTTACTCTCTCTCCAAATGCAATTTACTGAATTAAAATTTTCATAGTATTTCCTAGGATTGTGATTAGTCTAGATTACTGTAGAGTGTTTAGACTTTCAGCTGGTAAGGATAAGAGAATTGTATATGATTTGACTTTCAAATACATTACTTTTATCTACATAGGCATGAGATAATGTGGATGCAAATGTTAATGGGTAATTGTCCCTTTTTTATACTGCTTAAGTAGTTGCTTATTTAAGATCTTGGTGACTGGTTACATCTGGTATGGTTCTATATTTAAAAATAAGAGTATTTCTTTGCAGGGAAGAGATAAAGAATAAATAGAAAAAACTTTATCTTACAGAAAATTTTAAAAAATGTATAAGTAGAAAAGTTAAAGCTGCAGTTGTGGTCCTTGGAGCTTGTTGGAAATGTACAGCCTTGGGCCCCACCCCAGTCCCTCTGAATTAAAATCTTGATTTTAACAAGATTTCCAAGTGATTTGTGTTCATGTTAAATTCCTGTGTGTGTGTGTGTATATATATCTATACACACACACACACACACACAGAGCGAGCTGTTTGCCTGGAGTCATTCAGCACCTTACCACTCTTTTTGTTATTGATGTTGTTATTTTTTTTCCTGGGAACCCGCAAAGGATGGTGTCATGGCCCATGCCAGCAAGAGGTTGAGTACATTTCATTTCTCTTGAAATGATGATAATGTGGCATGCAGTGATTATTGAGCTCTTACTCTGACTGAACCAGACATGGTACACAGAGTACACAGAGTATTACATGAATTTATCACAGTTCATCATAAAACTCCTGTGATGTATGCAGTATTATGATTCCTACTCTCCAGAAGAGGAAACTACTAACTGAATGCCACACTTTACTTGGATTTCATTGGTTTTTCTATTAATGCCACTTCTGTTCAGGATTCAATCTAGGGTACCAT